CCCCCCACCCCACAGCTGTACCATAGCAACCAGATGAGAGGAGTAGGATGCGGGAGTCGGATGCAGAGAGTAAGATGGGGGAGTCGGATGGGGGGTGGGGGGTCAGATGGGGGAGTGGGATGGGGGTCAGATGGGGGGAGTCAGGCGAAAAGGGCCCTTCTGGTTCTGCAGCTTACAGTAAAGGACTCCAAATCCCAGCATGCCTTCCGGCCCGTGTACACACACAGTGAGAAACACACAGGACACTTCCTCTGGTCTGCAACGCCCCCTTTGGACCACAGCGGTTCTGGTTCTGGTTCAGAGCAGTACCTAACTTAAAAAAATAAAAAAAAAAAAAAAAAAAAAAAAAGAGTTCCTGGCCCAGAACCGGCAACCGGATCCTATTTCAGCACCAAAGTGGGTCAGGTGTGAAGTTCTGGCCTCTGAGCGAAGCGGGTCGGTCCGGTCCGATCCCCAAACGCAAACAAAAGCCCAGTTCTGCTGGAGCAGAACCTTGTTGATGTTTCGGGTTCTGGATCCACAGCTGGAGTGTAAATGCTGTCCCACAAACTGGGTCCAGAACCGAGCGACCATGACAGGCCCGGGGGTTCCTAGCAGGTTTTGGTTCTGAACCGACCCGGCTAGATGAACGAGGCCCTTGAAAACACAACAGGTTCCAACGAGGAACCAGCCGGTTCTGCACCAGAACCAGAACCCGAGCTGGTGGAGCAGAGATGGATCACACACATTTGTGATTAAAGTTTATACAACAGATTGAGTTTGACCCCTCGGGGCCACCGTACCAACAGTCGGACCTCAGACAGACCCGGTTCTGCCTCCGTACCCACAGTCGGACCTCAGACAGACCCGGTTCTGATCCGTCACATGATTTTCTAAAAACAGTCACATGGTCTCACACACAAACTTGTAGCACCAAACAGGCCGTAGTGCAGCTTTGGGGCGCCGCCCCCCCCCCCTTCAGCCAGGAGACGCGGCGGGTTCTGAGCAGGGCCCGGTTCTGGACCCGGTTCTGGACCCCCGGGTCCGGCTGCAGTGCACCATTCAAACACTTCACATCAAAGTCAACATCACATGGCACCGGACATTGGAGGGGAGGGGGGGGTCTGGCCTGGCCCCCCCGTGACCCCCACTAGCCCCGCCCCCCCGGATGGGGGGGATTGTTCTGTGAAGCCCATCCTGACAAGGAATGCTGGGCTTAGCTTCAGCCGGTTTCTAAGTGCAGAGGAAGAGCGACTG